CAAAGATATTGCAAAATTCATTTAGGATTGTCAGCGAAAACATGCAGCATAGGATTGTCAGCCAAAACATGCAGAATATGAATATTTACTAATTTTTGGAATATTCATTGCAACACTGCAGGCAATAAAAGGTCTATACACTGAGTGCAACTCTTTGAAATGCCAGCATGTGTGGACTCAGCCTCAAATCAACAGCCGATGTCTTGAGCAACATCTGCATATGTTTCATGGGCTGCATTCAATTGCATTCCAGAAAATTTTGAGGCAGAGGCTCCACCCCCACTTTTGACAAATAACTATGAGTTTTATTAATTTATTGCTTCTTGTTGACTGGTCAAATTTTAAAGCTCCCTCTCTATATTATGTCACTGGCTTTATATAACAAACAAGCTCAGCATTCCTCGCATGCCTTTCAGGAGAGAAGAAAGGAGTTCTTCTAACAATTTTCCACAAAGGGCAGGTGATGACTTAGATTATGCCCAGTCCTCTCCCACAGCTTTCAGATAGCAAGCCGAGAATTGGGCTGCCTCATTTTATCTATAAGGAGATCAGTTCAGTCTCTTGGGATTTGTGACTGATTTTTGTGTGTGGTTTGTTTTTGTTTTTCAGTACTTGGAGGAACACAAAAACAAAAAGTGTACACATACCCTACTAGGAATTTTTTGGCTTCTTTCCTTTTATTATTCTTTACATTTTTCATTGCATGCATTGTTAGAAATATAAAGAAGATACAGAACTTTATCTTGGTTAATTGAAACTAATAAAACTGGTACTGCAATTCAAATCACACCCCATGGAACTCAGGGAGATTTATAGTGCAACCCTGTACAATGGTGCCTTGCAAGACGAAATTAATTCATTCCGCGAGTTTTGTCGTCTTGCGATTTTTTTTGTCTTGCGAAGCACAGTGTCGGGAAAGTTTTGGAAAAGCTTCAAAAATCACCAAAGTCTTTAAAAACCTCAAAAAAAGGCTACCACACCACGTTCTATGAGTTGCTCCTCGAAGTCAAGTCGCAACTGTATTAACGGTGTTAAGAAAAAGGAAACAAACTTGCAAGAGATTTCTGTCTTGCAAAGCAAGCCCATAGGGAAAATCGTCTTGCGAAGCAGCTCAAAAAACAAAAAAACCCTTTCGTCTAGCGAGTTTTTTGTCTTGCGAGGCATTCGTCTTGCGAGGTACCACTGTACATGTACACTCAGAAGTAAGCTCCACTGAATTCACCATAACTTACTCCCAGAAAATTGTGTATAGGATTTCAGCCTTACTTTTGGATAAATAACTCTAGGGACATGTCAAGAGTAGGAAATGGGTGCATCAAGGGCAAAGGGAGGAATAAACAAAGCTGCAGTATGTCCTTCCTTCTGAGAATGTGGGCTGACCTAAACTAGCTAAAATGTGGATGTACGGTAATTAAATTCACGTAACAGGAGTCAATATAAGCACCAAAAGTGCACCCAGAAGCAATTAGGATGCAGCTTAATTATTGAGGAGATGCGCCCAATGGTAGAGCAGAATGCAAGGAGCCTCATTCTCTATCTACTTATCCTTCAGGGTCCTCTTCCTTATTCCTTTTGGGCAACTTCTCCCTTAACTTCCATATGCAGTCCCCAGCCATCTCCCAGATGAACTGACAGCGTTCATTTCCCTCATATTTGCTAGACGGCAAAGCTGTTTACTTTCCTTAGCAGTGGAATGTTCCATGCCATCATGTCGTTTTAGCTGTTCGTTGGCAGAGACTCATTACATGCAATACGATATAGACATAGACACTTCTGCAATGAGTCAGTGTGTTGCAGCTAACCTGGTGCAATCGCACTGCACAAGGCCTTGCATGAGTCATATGACAATGTGATAGGGGAGGATGAAGGCATGCCTGCACTAATCCTAATCCCAGCCAAATTATTAGGACCTAGAAGCCCCCTGTGCAACACTTTGACAACAGACTTGAGTTTCAAGGTCTTTAGCTCAAACAGACTATGAGGTGTTGATGAGCTTCTGCCAATGCAATTACTTTCCTTCGAAGGACCTCATTAAGACAGGTCTGTGAGTACTTCCAGATACTGGAAGCTCTGGCTATCATATCACCAACACAGGATGCTGACTAAGAAATACCTTGAAAAAGAGGTGCATGCGAATTAGATATGCAACAAATCAGATTTTGAGAGGGACGGTATGTGTTCTTTAGATATGTATGGTACAAGCACGTAACACACAGTGATCCTGCTTAAATTCCTTCGAAGAGGGTGTGTGCTGTAGCTGCTTATGCCTTGCACTTGGACTGGAGAAGGTAAAAGGTAAAGGTAAAGGTACCCCGACCGTTAGGTCCAGTCACGGACGACTCTGGGGTTGCGGCGCTCATCTTTCTTTATTGGCCGAGGGAGCTGACGTTTGTCTGCAGACAGTTTTTTCGGGTCATGTGGCCAGCATGACTAAGCCACTTCTGGAGAAACCAGAGCAGCACACAGAAACACCATTTACCTTCCTGCCGGAGTGGTACCTATTTATCTACTTGCACTTTTGGTGTGCTTTCAAACTGCTAGGTCGGCAGGAGCTGGGACTGAACAACGGGAGCTCACCCCGGCGCGGGGATTCGAACCGCTGACCTTCTGATTGGCAAGCCCTAGGCTCTGTGGTTTAGACCACAGCACCACCCGCATCCCATTGGACTGGAGAAACTCAAGTTCAAATCCCTGTTCAGTTGCAAAGCTTATTTGGTGATGTTGGTCTGGTCATGGAATGAAGATTATATCTATGGCAAGAGAGTTGAAAAAGATTTTTTCTTTGAGGGTTTTTTTATTTTAAGTATTGTTAACGTGAAGAGTGTGAAAGTTGGGGGTGGAGTCGGGAGTTTTGGGCATGACAGCTTGTGTTCTCTAATTATGCATATTTGCTAGGGAGGTGGGGATGGTGTTGCATTTCTAGATACATGTAGGGACTCAGACTTGTGTAGGAGCAACACCATCTTTCCTAGAAACTTGTCTCTTTAATTCTGGTGAGCACAGAGGTACTTTTACTGTATTTCTTCTGGCTAGTGGGGTTTTATTTTTTACTGCCAAGCCTGGACATAACTGGTGGCCCCTTGGTCTCAGCCTAACCCACCCCGATGAAGTGGCACTCCAGATGTGGCCCTGCTGGCTGCTGCTGACAACTGGAGCACCTTAGGCTCCTCATGTATGAGAAAGGAAAAAGGAAGTCTCATAGTAGGGCAGGGCTGCTCTCCTTTGTGCAACTTAATTCCAAGTACGGTGGGCAGAGAAGGATGCTGTGCCTTGCAGAATGCCTTTGATTCCCTGACTTTGATTTGCAAAATGAATGTGGAGGTGGCTGGCTGGGATGCCATGTGAGTGGAATCCAGTGGCAAAATTTTTATTTTGTAGGGGAACAGTTAGGGCCAGAGGCGCCAGCCTGCAACGGCAATGGGGGGGGGGGCAGGCAATGTTGCTATCACGAGACATTACAGATGTCAGCAACACACCTCCCTCCCTAAGCCGGGCAGAAGCATCCTAGACTTGGGGAAAGAGGTGCCAGACTTTAACACTCTAATGTACTGGGAATATTTAGGGAACTAGCCTAGTCCCCTTAGTCCACACGCCACTGGTGGAATCTTTCTCCTCAAAAGAGGAATCACAGAGGTGGAAGCAGGGCTGGATTTAGGTTTGACGAGGCCCTAAGCTACTGAAGGTAATGGGGCCCTTTATATGTCCAACTGTCCTTTGTCAACAACAAATTGTTGCTGTTTTTTGTGTTGAATATATGCTATATGGTAATTTACGGACCTAATAGGTATCTAAAGCCATTTGCACATAACAAATAGGAGCCTACACAACACAAAGCACTATTGCTGCATGTAGGTTTTATATTATTTATTTTTCATCTTATATTTTGGAAATGTACATCAAGTTCCCCCCCTTTAAATTATTTGGGCCCCCCCCAAGAGAGTGGGGCCCTAAGCTATAGCTTGTTTAGCTTATAGGTAAACCCGGCACTGGGTGCAAGGGACCACAGGGTCATCTAGTCCAACCTCCTGCAATGCAGGAATCTTCTGCTCAACATAGAGCGCAAAACCCACGACATCCTCTATCGACTGAGCTACCCCTGGCCAGGAAACTTTGGGAGAAGCTCGGGGTGGGAATCATTCCCTCTTCTTTTTGCCACGCTTCCTCCCCGTCCCCTGGCTTTTCTCCCCGCAGCAGACGGAGGCGAGGGGCTTGTCCTTTCTCCCTTCTCCCTTGCTTGGGTGTCGCCCGCACCACCTCGGGGTCAGATCCCAGAGTCCCAGCGAGGGAGAAGGGGAGGGACCAGCGGCTGGTGATGTCAGCTTGGGAAGAGCGAGGGAGGGAGAGGAGGGAGAGGGAGAGCGCGACGGAGGAAGGGAAGGAGGGAGGAGGGAGCCAGAGCGCAGAGCCAGCGAGTGTTCCGGGTCAGGCGCAGGAATGAAGAAAGGTGCTGCTGCTGCTGCTGCAGCCTGAGCGACGAGCGAGCCGGGCTCCGTGGGAGAACTGGGGGGCACTGATTGGACAGCGGAGGCCCAATAAGAGACAAAAGCAGCAGGAAGGTTTTCTGTTTCTTTTCTTTTCTGCGCGTAGTAGTCTGGAGCGGCAGGAAAGAGTTTTCTCCTGTCCCAGGCGAATGTTTGCAGGAGCTGCCGCCTCCTCCTCCTCCTCCTCCTCCTCCGGGACTTGCTGAGGAGAGGAGAAGGCGAGGGCGGCCTCGAAGGCGGCGGCTGGCAGACCAGCGAAGGCGACGTGCCTGGGGAGCCGGCGTCGGCGGCGAGGGTTGCTAAGGGCCGGGTTTGGAGCCGCCCCCCTCCGCGCTCCTCTCCCTGCGCGCTCGCTCGCTCGCTGAGGGCGAAAGAAGCCTCTCTCGCGCGCGCGCCTGGCGCTGGAACTGGAAGGCGAGCCGGGCAGGGGGCCGCGGGGAGGCTGAGGCGCTGCCCGGAGTGGCCGCGCGAGCCTCGCGCAGCTTGCCGAGGGTTGGGCTGCGGGAGGCAGGCAGAGGGTTGCCGCCGCCGCCGCCGCCTTTGCTGCTATGTTTCATTGCATCCCGCTGTGGCGGTGCAACCGTCATGTGGAGATTATCGACAAGCGCCACTGCTCGCTGGCCGCCGTGCCCGAGGAAATCTACCGCTACAGCCGCAGCCTCGAAGAGCTCCTGCTCGACGCCAACCAGCTCCGAGAGCTGCCGAAGGTGAGCGAGATAGGGGGCGAGGAGACGGCGGGGCCGCCCTTGGGGTGTGTGTGTGTGTGTGTGAAGGGAGAGATTCATTTTCGCAGGTGGGTCAGGAATGGAGCGCCGCTCTCGCCTCTCCCCCCCCTCCCCGACCCTAAAGGTGAAAGAGTCCGCGAGAGGTTCCTTCCTTCACCTCGGCTGGGACTGGGAGCAACCATTAGCAGCGAAGCGTGGGGGGGGGGAAGGTGGCCCATTGAAATCAGGGCCGTTTCTCAAACTTCTGAACTTCGCGGCGGGGGGGGGGGGTTCCGCTCTCAGTGCTCTTCTCGAGCCACCTACCAGCGCGGGTGACTGGTTTACTCGGAAGGAGTGTGTCGTGACCCCAGTTCTCACGACGGCATCCATACATTCCGACGGTGGTCTCTTGGGCGCATGGGCTTCTGTCAGAGCGCGCTAGCAAAAGCCCCCGCCCCCCACCGCTCGCTAGTTTGGGATGGAACTACGTTGGAGGAGAGGAGAAAGTGTGGGGCAAGGAGCTGGCTAGGTAGGGAAAGGGACCTGAAAAACAGCTGTCTCTGCCTGGGCGCCAGCCTTCCTTGCCAACACAGCCCTGAGTCTCAAGTCTTGCAAGACCTGCTTTTCCATTTGTGTGATGGCCTGTTTGCCTTGTTAAAAAAAAAACAACAAAAGCTGTCGTGCTTCACAAGCCAGGTACGAATGAGATTTTAGAATACCATCTTTGTCAGGAAAGAATAAATGAGCGAACAAACTTGGGACCCAAGATATAGGAGAAGAGTGAAAGTGGTACTGGGCTCTTGTTGGGTAGCCTCTATCTTCCTGATATAAATTAACTTCTGGATTTCCCCCTCTGGGTTAATACTTAAAGGTGAATTCCCACTAAAGTAGTGCTGGAACTAACCTTCCATTTGCAGGTATTACTGTGGAGATGGGAATTGTGGTATTGTGTTCAATTAATGTGGTCATGAGGGTGGCCACAGTTGTTGAACTGGCCCATGCACAGGTTCACCATGGAAAATAGAACATTTGGATTTACAACGAGATGGAGAAGACCATGTAAACTATCCCCTTTACACAGGAACTATTGCAAACATTGTTTTATAAATTCCTAGTCTCCTGCTATGGTTTTTTTGTTTGTTTGTTTGTTTTTTGGAGGGGGGTTGTGACTAAAACTTAACCACGTCAGCTCGAATTACCTTGCATCTCTTCTGAAATACTTGGGGTAAGTCTGTAGTGAGGCCTCATTATAAGTGAGTGATATAATCCATAGATGCAGCAATGGTATTGATATTTGCTGCTTTTACCAGTGGTTCTGAAAAAGGGTCTTTAGATGGATTTAAGATATGGGCAGAAAGCATTTTTATGACCTCAAGTAAGTCTCCTTCTGCCACTGTTTCCCTCCCTTAATGTAGATACTTCCCCTTTCACTGTACAAGTTTATGAATCAAGTACCACCTCATCTACATTTGTGGTGGTGAACAGCCTGTGGTACCGACTGGCTGAGTTGCTGTGGTTTCTTGGGGAACTAAGCCCTTTGCAGTCCAGTTTCTGTCAGGGAAGAGAAGGTTTTCGGTATGCCTAGATTAAAGTGGAAACACAGGGTATGTCTGAGAACTGGGATACAGGGAAGCTAAGTGACAAGCTGCGCAGAGGACAGAGGCCGAAACAGAAGGACAGAACAGGCCAGGACCTGAGAGAGTAACCTGAAAGAAGCATAGGTGGAGAATTCAGCTTGAGGAAAGCTGCTGCTTGCTGTTTTAGCTACCGGATTTTGGTAAAAGTTTCCACGTGATGTGATGTACAAGCATGTCTGCTGAATCAGCATGCATGACACTTGGAGAAAACATCACCCTTATCTAGCTCTGGTCATGCTTAAAAACCCTCCCCACCATTTATGCGTGGCTAGTTGTGTCAAAATACTAATGAGCATTTCGATGTGCATATGAATCTGCAACCCACTGGAAACAATATGATGAAGACAGCTGTGTATTCTGAGCCACATTTGGTTTATAGCAATGGTTCCTGATTCTATAAGACAGGGATGGGATACAGCTGGACTCTCAGGTCCCATTATCCCTGACTGTTGGCTGCACTGGCTGCTGCTGCAAGTTGGAGTCCAGCAATATCTAGGTAATTCCAACATCCCTGCTGTAAGAGATGTGGAAGTCTGTGCTTTCCCATATTGCGCTTCTTAGCTGCTTAGGAGTGCAAGCCTGGAGTGCACCCTTTGGTTCAAGTAGCTACTAGAATGGAGCAGAATCATCACTTTTGGTAGGTAGGCCACTTTTGAAGTAGAAAGACTGAGAATTATCAGTTCTCAATTTATAGGATGAGTGTTGTTTGTTTCCTTTTGCTATTTTCACTCTTAGAACCCGTACCCTAGGGGCAAAGGACTTTAGCACCTATAAATTGTCAGAGGACCTGAAGTATTCTGTGTGATGATTCATTCCATCTAGGGTATAAGGAACTATCTTGAATTAAATCAAGTTAGCTGAATTCCTTGGGAATGATAGATACAGTATACTGCGTCACTGCCTGTGCATTGATTTGGAATCAAACATTCTGTAATAAAAAGACCAATCAACTCTCTCTAGTACTGGCTTTTCAAAATCTTAGAAAATGGTATTCTCAGTGCTTCCCCCCAGGGGGTACTTAAGGGTACACAGTACCAGCACCTCTTTTTTGGTTGTTAAAAAATGTGGCACTTACTGTAAAAACTTCATGGTGCATACCGGCACCTATTTTTCTAGAAAAATAGGTATTTCCTAGTCCTGCTCTCTGATATTCTTTTACTGGAGATCACATTGCTCTTTCACTGAGCTATGCCTCTGCCCTATACAGTTTGTGCTTCCCCTCTGGAAAGGGAACTTCATTAGAAAAACTCATTCTTCTTAGATTGCCTTCTTCCAGGATTCAAAGGCACAGCTTCATGGGTGCAGACCTTTGTGCGAGTCATATGCCAAATCACTGAGCCATACTGTGTGTGTGTTTGTAGCTGCTTCATGCTCAAATATCATGCTGTGGTCTGTCAGTTTGTTTGTCTGGGTAAAGTCATTGAACCTGACAACATGCTTCTTAAAAGTGATAAACATGTTTGTCTTTCCATTCTTGAATTTTTCCTTTAAGAAATACAATACCTTCAGCTCCTATATTTGGAACTAACCTTATTTCTATTGTACTCTCAGTTTACAGTGACTCTTCTCAGAGCAAAACATGGTTAAGAAAGTATAACTGGTTTGCAGTGGATGTCTGAACTAGGGTGGGGGGAAGGCTTATGACTGACCACCAAACCAGAATAAGAAGCTATGGTTTGAAGTTGTTTTCAAACCATGGTTTTTGCCAACTCTGATTCAAGCCCTCTTCAGAAGTTACTTGGGTGAAAGGGGCTGTATGAGTAGTAGGCACAGCAAGGCAGGACTACCACCCCCCAAGTCACATTGCTATCTGCCCACACACCCCTCTATCCATGCATTGTGTGGATGTCTTCATGGGGGAAGCCTGTCTACACACACAGGCACTCACTCATTCTGGGATCCTGATCATGCAGGGTGGTATTCAGTGCTAGTCCTGCTCCCAGTAGACATTGAAGCTCCTCCACATGCAGCTGCTGGGTGACCTTGGGCTAGTCACGCTTCTTTGAAGTCTCTCAGCCCCACTCACCTCACAGAGTGTTTGTTGTGGGGGAGGAAGGGAAAGGAGAATGTTAGCCACTTTGAGACTCCTTCAGGCAGTGATAAAGCGGGATATCAAATCCAAAACTCTTCTTCTTCTCTTGGTGGCCATGACTAACTTAGGTTTGTTGCTTTCAGTGGGTCTACTCTGAGTAGGACTTAGTTGTGTGTGGCCCATAGGGTTTCTGAATGTGTGCAAGCCTTTGTGCGTAGACACTGACTCCCCCTACTCAGACATCAACATGCACAGCCTGAGGCTGTTTTTATGTGAGGAGCCCACTTCAGATGAATAAGACCTGAAGGGACTTTGGTGTGATGTCCGCATGAGCAAAGGAGTTAGTCATCACTCTTTTTGTAGAGATGCTGCATCCTGGTCAGGGGAGTGAATTTGTTGTATGTTTGTGCTTCTAGTCTATAGTTAGCACAAAGTGTGGCTTGGTGTGTTTTCTGAATTCAACAAAAGTGTTTCATTCATTCATTCATTCATTCATTCGTTCGTTCATTCATTTTCATCTGCCCTTGCAAGAGCAGTGCCCAGTGATGTATGGTTAGTAACATGTCAGATCCAGGAAGTGTTTCTAGGGCTTGAACCCAGGTCACATTCCAGCATTCCACTTGCTTCTCCCCACAGCCAAAGAAAAATAACCACCAGCTGGTAAATAAAGGTTGCATTTTATCTGCGGCCCTTGCTTCCGTTGAAATTGTTTTAGGGAATATTGTGATTTCCAAGGGTTGTGAGGCAGGAACTGTCAGGCTTTAACATTTGAGGGTTCTATTTTGTTTTGTTTTCCTGTAGCTCGGTCAGTGGCAGCTGCAAAATAGAGGCTCGACTGGGTGGACCTGATTCAAAGAATTAGAACCAAGCTCCCTCTGAGCACATGCTCAGCCCATAAATTTATGATCAGCACCAGAAATGAGCTCACAACATTTTTCACATGAAGGTCCTACTCTTGATTCTCCTCCCGACCCCTGAACTTTCATTTTCATAAACCTAGTTGGGCATGGGGGTTGGGAGAGCTTCGTTGTTAAACAATTGGAAGTCAGAAACTTTTGCCAGTCTCCTAGATGTCTGTCAATAGATCCCAATCTACCTTTTGCTGACCCCTGTTTTGATCTGCTTTGAGTAGTCCATAGGTATTAAGAAGCGCAGGATAGAAATTTCTACGTAAACAAAAGAAATGTGGTTCCATTAAAATAAAGCTATACCAAAACCTTTTATTTACTGGCAATGTGATGAAATAGATATATATATATATATCACCTCTGCCAATACCTCTCTCTGGTCTAAATAACATTTTGTGCAGTTTACCAAATATCTGAGTGTACATA